TCTTAAGAACAATAACTACTTCATTTAAATTTGCCATAGGATTGCAAATTGGTTGGCATCATCTAATAGGAAAGACTCTAGGTAAACAACTTATAAGACTGTTGCCAGCTCTTAAAATAACCTTTGTACTTGTACATTTCTGTTCTTGTCAGCATTCACTTGAGATGCATTTTATAGTCACCTTGCCAGAAAATATGAAACTTCTTCATGTAGTGTTAGAGGCCCAGATTAGCAGCCATAAATGTAATATGACTGTGGTGTCATCAGGGATTTTTCTTCCTTGTTAAGATTCAGCAGTGTGCCCATGAGATACACCTCTCAATTTCCTAGGTGCAACAGGAAAAAAACCCTGATTTTATACATACATACATACATACATACATACATATATACATACATACATATATGTGTGTGTGTGTTTGTGTACAGTATAAATATATGAATACACAGGACTTTTTCCTTTTTCTCCATAATAAAGAACCATGAAAATATATATGTTTATATGGGATCTCTGGCTGTAATAAGGTAACCATTTCTTGCCTGTAAATTTGTAACAAAAGAGAGAAGATGGCTATGTTTATTACCTAGAGATTTGTATTTTTCATATATTTATGCATGTATGTAACAACCTATATAGCTATTAGATATGTAAATGTGTTTAATATGTAAAGCTAACTGTTGTACATCAGCTTTACTTATTAACACCATTTCTTCAAGAAAAACAGGAAACCATTGTTACTTTGTGATGACCCTCTTAGGAGATCAATTTATAAAAACTGACACCTAAATAAATTGCTGTCTTGCGGTGTTTTTATATTACTGTGCTGTGCTGGCACTTTTATGTGTTTAGGCCTTGCACTGTCCAGGAAGTTGATTCTACATAAAGTGAGAGTGTTGCACCCTCTCCTGTAAGGCTGCTCCTGCTTTTGTTTGCCATCAAAAATAAACAGTGGCATGACAAAAAAAAAAGTTAGTTTGCTTTTGAGGGCAGAAAGGCTGCTGCCTAGCTACTTACCTGAGTAATTTTAGGGCACTCACCCTGAAATTTATCAGTGAGACCTCACATAAGCAGGTAGCTAGTTGATTGGAGATTGGCAAGTTTGGCAGGATGATAAGGATGAGTAATTCAGTGACAATGAGAAAAAGTACCTTCATCAGGGCTCAGCAGGATTTGTTAGATCTCATGGGTTGTACACTGCATAATTACAGTTCTGTAAAGTACGTGGGAAAAAGATGTCTGGCCACCTTTGTGCTGCAGAGCCTAAGGAAGGAGGAAAAATGTGGGGATTATTGAAGTAGACAGACATTTATACAGAGCTGTCAAGGAAAGATGCCCTCATCGTTTTCAGAGCAGAACAATGCACTCTGAGTGAGCTCACTCACTCATTCAAAAAAAAAAAAAAATTTAAAACACAGTCACCTTATTTTCAGCCCTGCAGAAATGTGAGCAGGCACTTCTACCTCAACTCTGAGCTGCAAAGTAAAATCTTCATGTGGATAAAATGCACAAGACATGCCACAAACCTTCAGAAACCGAAGATGATAATCTAGTAGTATTTTGCAAGTAGTAGCAACGAGTCTGCAGGATCTACTCCACCAGCTGTGTCAAGATGGGAAGGCAGCCCCTGGGACTCAGGTTAGCCCCTAGGATTCAGGTTAGCCCCTGGGACTCAGGTTAGCCCCTGGGACTCAGGCTGCCTCCCAGGCCAGCACCGTCCCATTGCAATTACATGTGTCACATGGCTTGGCATGGAAACCACACATAACATGCTCACCAACCACAGGTGTCCCTGAGAGACAGACACTTGGCAGCCAGACACCTTTGGAGAGGACAGAGTTCAGAGTTGTCAATTTGACAGGAATTTGTTGAATTTTTAGGGTATTATCATGTTCTTTCAGTGTCTGCAGGAGATAGATTTTGTTTTTATGATTCTTCTTAATTCTACAATTTAATTCTTATTGTACCTTGCCATACACATCTCTGATGCTCTGTTATATAGAGAAAACTCTTCTTACATGCTTTTTTTTTCCCAATTGCAATGAAAGATTCCATGAGGTGGCTAATTCCCATGGTTGCTTCCTGCCAGCTATGACAAAGGACTAGTACTTGTTTCCATATGAACACACATATACCTAATATCCAGAGGATGGTTGGCTTACAAGATGGGCTAGAGCTTACTCTTCAGTGATTTCTTTTTCCCCATTTGTTGTCTCATGTCTGCTGATAAATCCCATTCTGAAGCCTTAAGCCTTCTCCTGGATTCAGACAGAAGGCAATAGTAAGGTTTTCAAGAATAAGTCTTCTTGTTCACAAAAAACAGCTGGCCATATAGATTTGTACTAAATCTTTGAACAAAGACAAATCATCAAGTTTTGAGGGCTGGACCTGTCAGAACCAAAGTACATCAACTTTTATATTTCTATTTATTGTCTTCTCCTGATGACAAAGTGGTTCTTTATTGCACATTTTCTCCTGGGGAATTTAATTGTAATATGTTACCTAAAGAGATAAATAAACTTTTGGGTAACCAAGTTGCTAAGCAAATCATAGAGCCTTTTTCCCAAAAGTTTCCCGTGGTCAATGAAACTCCCCTGGCACTGACCTATGCACTGGCTTCCAGCCATGTACCAGAAAAGTAAATACAGTGTACAAGCTACAAACATGCACAATGAAAAAAGAGCACAATAGGTAGCCACTTAAGTCTCTAATTTGTGAGAATGACGCACAGTGAGTGCGTGCTGCTGAAGTGCTTTCTTCAGACTCAGGGTGCTGAGGAACTGTAAGAAAGCTGTTGTGGTTCGGAGGGTTAATAAGTGTCAGTGTGTAAATACTGGGGCAATCCTTCTGCTGAGGCAGGAGATGTTTATAGATGGGAATTTTTCAGCAGCTATAAATGGAAGTTTTGTTTGTTTTGTCTGTGGCACATGGGAAAGGCTTGATCATAACTTTAAAAATTCAGTGCTAACGGCTTTAATAAAAAATCCTTAGATTTCAAAGTTCAGCTTACAGTGCCATGGCAGAGGTTCTGGAAGGGAGGCAGCAGGGCAGGCAAGCTGCAGCAGCCCAGCAAAGGCTGACAGCTCAGCACTGGCGGCTCTGCACTTGCTGAAATGCCTGCACGCCTGTGGTTTGCTAAGGAAGCAGCTCACATGTAAATCTGTGCTTTTATTGCATTCGAGTCAAGAGGCGCAGCAGTAGATAACATCACCTGTTGGCACAGGGACAGCAAACAGCAGCTCGAACCTTTCTCCTACAAAGCCATCTGCCCCAGCTGAATATGATTGACTGAGAAGTCACGTACTCAGTCTCATCTATCTCCCCAGCTGGGGGAGAAAAAAAAATGCAATTCAGGTTTCAGCATTTTTGTAATCCCTCTGAGCCTCCCATTAAATTTGCTCTACTGTGTGGGAAAGGATTAAAGATTCTTTGGGCTCCAAAACACAGTATACAAAAATTAAGTACTTCAGCATGGTTTGTGGTAAGGCAGCAACTAGAGTGTATAGCCTGCCACATAACCCAGAGCAGCGAGTTCTCTTTGACAAGTAACACTTGTTGACAGCTTAAAATTTCTGTTGGTAACACATGCCACAGTTGTGTATGGCCTTTGTTTTAAATATTCTGTATGCAACATATTTCATAAGTAACTTCAAAAATAATCAGAGTTGTTCATATGCTGTTAGTAACTTAGCTCAGAATGCCAAAAGAAGGAAATATTTTCTGGCAAGGAAAATTTCTTATGAAGCTGTTCCTTTACAAACACCTTCATAAATGCTCCCTTGTAATAAATGTTTCAAGGTTACAAGTATTACAAGTTTCAGACAAGGCTGTTTATCAAGATTAAAGAGTTCATTTCCTAAAAGGCAATATTATTCACATTTTATTTGAGTGTGAGCATAGATGAGAAATTTTTATTCAAGAGCGGCCAGGACTTTTTCCCCACAAAAAATGGTAAACGGAAAATGCTAAAAACATTCTTTCCCTGATTTTTTACTACTTTCAGAGCCTGACTTGCTGTTTGGCTTAATTTGCAAAGTATTCAATTCTACTAAATATACTGTGCTTGGTGTGATTCAGCATCTAGCCTTTTTTGTCCTAATTCAACCCTTAAATGTATGAACCTTTTTTTTTGTGAAAAGGACACAGAGCTACTGTGTACCCAAGCCTGAAGGAAAAAGGAGGGGCAAGAAAGGGCATAACTTTAAGATATTAAATAGTAGACTCCAAAATCCATACTTTTAAAAATAAATACTGTCTCCTGCTTTCATTACCCTACTTGCATGAAACTTTTTCCTTCTTCCTCTCAGCTGCTAAGCCAAGAGCTGTGTGTAACAACTGCCAGCTGCTCACCCAACCACAATTTACTGATGTTATGGGGCAGACTAGAAAGTGCCAAAGAACAAGAGGAGTCAAAGCAGCAATGCTGCATTTTTGTCATATTTCATTTCATCATTGCACTAGAAAGCACAAATATAGGAGCTATGAACACCATCTCATGAACAAGAAGTAGTTCCAGTGTGTGTAAAATGCTAATGCTGAACTCTTGAATTGCTTTCACCATTCATAAGGCAAATTAAATTAGGATTCCAAAGGAATTGGAAAATAGTACCATGCCATGCAATTTATATCTAGGCTCTCCACTCAAAAAGCATAAGAAATATCTGCTGACTACATCCATATTTTTATTTTTCATTATATTAGTTTTTTCATTTTTCTAAACATAGAATCTGCTTGCTTTTTCTCTGTAGTAACTTTTAATGTTAATTTTTGAGACTTTAAATGGTATTCCTCAATGTCATTATTTCAAGATTGTATATGTGCAGTTATTTTATGTATTGGTTATTTTTCTTAAGGTCTAGACAAATGTATTATTTGCAAAAATAAATGTTTATAGAAAGAAAAATGTAATTATGAAAAAGCTTAATATCTGGACTATTCAATTCTTGGGATGTTTTGTTTTAAGCCTAACTTATAACCTGTTTTCTGCTATTTTGGTATTCAGGTTACCATTGACCAGCTGTACTCCACAGAAAAATTGGTCATTGAGAGTCCAGGAAACACATAGCCAAGAAAAGTCTCTGATCCTGAAGCAACACTGGACCATCTTCAGCATCCTACAGTGCCACATACAGAAGCATAAACTCACTGCACATGTCTGAGCTTGTCTGTTCAGCAGAAGAAATGCTTGAGAGACTCAGATTTTGGCAACCAAAGTATTATTTTCTAATGGGTTATGTGTTCTAAGATAAATGGCTATGATTTTTAATAGTATGTAAGGTAATTGAAATCTGTTTGCTTGTATGTCCCATGTGATGGAACAGTTCCTGCCCAGTTTTGACAATAAAACTTCATTAAACTACCTTTAACTCAGTACATTATTCTGATGCTGACCTTGTCTCTCACTGACCACGAAAAACATGTTAGATTTAAAACCCCTCAAGATTTAAAACCCCTCTCCCAATTACTAAGTTGTATTGATTCTGTTGCATTTAAATACATCCAGCATCTGAATTAAATAAGTACATATTTTATTTAAAGTATTAAAGCCAGAGGTGGTCAGAATTTTCATCTCCTGGACTTTGCTACATACAAGTATCATAGGCTGCATTGTTTGGTTTCCTTGAAGAGCATCCCTTGGCATTTCAGGAAGTGACATAAAAATTTCACTAGTTCATTCTTTAGTTTCCAAGAGTTAATAAACAGTCCTGTCCTACTTTTAACAATTAACTGATCAGAATAGCAGAATGTAAGACTTGAATTACTGGGGCTTGGGAGCTTTCAAATGTTTCTTCACCACCACGTCCTTTAATTTGTTGAGGTGCAGCTATTAGCAGAAAGCTCCACGTCACTTTATGAAAGATTTCCCTTTTTCACAAACATCGTGAATTTTGGCAGAAGAAAAAGAACCTTACTGGAACAGTAACTCAAGTGCTGTAAGTCATGAAGTGGCAACAAGCTTTGCCTAGAAAAAGTGGAACACTAAGCATAGCATTTTATTGGTTATTTTTAAATCTGTAGAATGCTCAACACTTTTAAGACCACAGATTAAGAAAAAAAACAAGCAAAAATTTTGATCAGGTTCTGCTCAAGTCATTGCTGTGCTTGAATTTGTTTTCTAATAGAAATTTAAGCAGTGCAAAGCTGGCATACAGGGTTGTGGGGGGAAAGTTTCCTTTTATTTCAGTGAATTATTGTGGGTTTTTTTAAGCAGAGAGACAGAAGCTCAAAACTAGTTCCATGGCACTGTAGCCTTTGAAATCCACCCCTTATTTTTCTTGCTTCCCAAAATGCATCTTTATGTTCTTCTATGTTGTTCATGCTCTGTGAAAACTTTATTAAAGCAGAGTGTCTAATTAAAGTGTCTAATTTAGAACGAACTCCCATTCCTCACTGCCACTTAAAGTGCATTTTGTACTATTTTGTACCGTTAGATTGAGATGTATAGTAATGGATTTCATATGGACAGTACAGTGTACAGAATAAAGTAGTGTGTACCTGAGACTGTAAATGTAGCCCCTTCTCAATTTTAGATAAAAAGCAAATACAGTAATAATTCTCCCCTTATGAGGTGTATAAGTATTGCAGTGTAAATTGCTTTTAGTGAACATTTTATTCAAATGAAATTTAATTCTTCTAATAGGTAATATACATTAGATCTTGTATTTGAAATCTCCACATTCACAACTGGAGCACTTAAGTTCATGGTCAAAGTGCAGGGGAAGAAGGGTTTGATTGCTCTTTAAGCTTCCAGTAAGCTCAGAGAAATACAGTACATCTTACACTCTTGGACAACACAGGCTTGTAAGGACTGCCAGTTTTACACTATAAGAAACTTGGTCACTAAAACAGTACACGTAAAATCCTTGTCTAAAATAGCTTAATTACTGGAACAAGCACTGCATACCATTTCAAGATCTGAGAATGTATGCTAGGAAGCAAAATAAACATATCTATAAATAGCATAGCCCTAATTTATAAAGAGGGACAACTCCATCAGTAACATTTTTACTATTTAAATCTGTTTTCACCGTATTTATGAAAAAATAAGGGAACTCTTTCAATGCATAATCAGTTCTTCCAAAATACCTTTCCAGTGAAGTTCTTTAGTATTGTTTCCAATCTTGCCATCTGCTCCAACCTTCTTTCTCAAGGCTACCCCTCAGATTCTCTCTCCCTTACTTATTTCTGTCTTCAGGGGAACAGTAGTAACCTTCAGGTACAGAGAGAGGCCCAAGGAGGGGGGGGAGCAACGGGGTTCTGTAATTTCTCTCTGTCCCCAATCCATCCTGCAGAGGGTAAGACAGCTGACCTTCTCAGTAAAGGACAAATCAGTTCTTACTTGAAATTACTGATCAGCTTATCATGCAGTATTTATACTGTACTTATACAGTATTTATACATTACTTATTAGAAGCAAGGTAAGAACACCTCTGCTGCTACAGTCCAAAAGTCTGTGTTAACACTATCTAGGTTCTTAACAGGAGTGCAAAGCTAGCAAAGGTATTACCACTTACTCATCAAACACATTTTAGATGCTTGTTCCCTGCTTTGGACAGGCCTGCATGTTTCCTTTGCTTGTAACAAATAATCTAAGTGCATGGTCAGTTAGTGTTAATTATGTGCATATCGGTTGTAAGCAATTGACAGATACCTACAAATATATTTTTTCCTTGCATGATGTCCATTCGAAGGCATTTTGCTAAAACATGCCCAGTTCTGTACAAAAACATAGCTTGACAAATGCTTTATCATTGAACCTCTATAAGCTATGAAGGAAAATACTTGCTAAGCACACCTGGCTTAGGAAGCGGAGGCCAGGTGTAGGCTGGGATGACTTTAGTGTTGTATTGGTGTCCACTTGCCCTGTCCTTACTCTTGGCTAGCGATGTGCTCATCACTGCCAATGGAGAGAGCAGCCCGGGGCTGGCACTGTGGTCCAGCCTCGGAGCTGCTGCGCTCTTACAGCTGCACCTTCTGTGCTTCACCAGTTCCGTTTACGTTGCAATACTCATTAAATCTCTCTTGGCACTCTGTCAGAAGCTTTGTTGGGTTTTGTCAAAGCAGTGTAAACAACAGGAATAGTTAAAACACAAAGGAATGATCCCATGACTTATGTACAATGTCCCCTATTACAAAAAGTATTTATTTTTTCCTTAGAGCAGAGCTCAATAAATATCTTTACTAAAGCTGCAATGTCTTAGCAAAACAATTTTGCTTTTGTATTACATTAAAAATGTTTTTTTCCTGATCTTGACACTTTAGCAAACTACTGGCCTCAGCAGTATGAACCAAAATTTGAGTGTTTCCCTGTACTGAAATTCATCCTTACTTTCACAGGATAAACTTGGAAACAGCACTCTGAAAAGAAAAAAGGGACCATTTGATTAATATTAGTAACTGTTCAAAAGACAGGCACTTCTGTTGTGTGTTACAACCTCTCAAGAATTTTTTCTGCAATTGAAAGCATGGCTTCAAAATGCCCAGGTATATCAGAGGTACAGATTTCCAGGAGAAGAGCAACCCAAGCGAGAAGCATGTGAACACTTAACATACAGGGCTGAAATAGGCTAAGAAGGAGTATAACTTTCTACTCACTTTTCTCAGAAGGTATTTCTATTAAAAAAAAAAAAAACAAAACCTTCCAAGTTTCCAGGCATTAAAAGCAAAACTATTACCTTCTAACAGCAGCAGACAGAATAACTTTATGGAGAAGCACCAGCCCCTCAACTTTACTTCCTGTAATGCAACATAAATGCACCTCTCCCAATACCCAGCACAGACCATACGTACGCGTAAACAGAGCCATGAAAGAGCTGTGCACTGACTGTTTTCCTGAGTTTTCCATAATGATCTACAGTGAAATCCTGGCATTATTCAAGTCAGGACTATACTGTTCGCTTTGTTCCACCATTCTTAACACAGGCATAATTATTTCATACCCTTGGGAATATTTTGCTTGATGAACTTTATAAAAAAAAGAACTAAGCTGTGTAGCTCTTTAACTGAGCATTTACGTGCCTACTTTTTCTTTTTTTACTAGTCTAGAATATAAGAATAGTGCATGAGACCTTAATGTGCAAGCAGGAAGAAAAACAAAGAGAGAAGCCAGTAATTCTTCCAAAACTGTGTATTTTCTGTAAATGGAAAAAATTTGTAACTCTCAAACCTGTTTCACAAACATATGCACCTTCAAAAAGATTCTACAGCTTACAGAAGTCATTAAATATGTTTTGTAAGAGATGCTTCTTTCTAAACTACTTACCTTTTTCACTGTTAAACCAGTATCTACTGAAGCTTTGCAAGAGGGGGAAATGATGGTAATTTAGTGCGTTGAAGTAACTACTCTTCTGTGTTCAAGAAAAAGAACTGTGGAGACCTGTGAAGAATGTACAGGCTTTCTATTGAAAGAGTACACCCCATAAATATTTATAACAGTCTTTGGCAATATGCTAATCCAAGGCAAGTAATTTTCCCTCTCTCAGAAAGAATCATGAAAAAACAATTAAGGTGATTTAATTACTGCCATGCGCAGACAGCAGATTTTGAACTCTTGACAGATGAACATTGATCACAGTGCCATGTTATCCTAACCCCGTAACACAAGACTCTGAAAAGAATGGACAATTAAACCTAGATCATTTCCATTACCTTCCTGCAGTACTTTGGGCTCAATCCAAATCCCAGGGAAGCCAATGGGAGTAGAAGCCAGACTTTCCAAGTACTGACTGAAAGCTCCAATTTTAAATAAAACAGAAGTAGTTTTCATGCAAGCTTACAGATCTTCAGGACACTAAAATAAATTTAGCTTTGCAGCCCCTTTCTGAATCATTTAAATCTGAATTTAAAAATAAGTGTACATGGCAAAAAATTGCTTAAGAAATATTTAACTTTTCTGTCCTTCACAGTTACCCCTACAGAATTTCAACTATATTAAACTTTCTTCATTTATATACACCTATAAAACCATTTGGTGGCTATTCCTACCTTAAGTCCTTAATCCATGGTGGGGGAACAGAAATCTGCATTAAATAAAAATTTTTGGAGCTGGAGTTTTTCCAAAAGTGGAATAAATCTTAAATTTCTTATTTAGGTTAGGGGAGGGAGCATGTTTATGAGAATATCCTCCAAAAGTTATGCTTTGAATCCTTATAGAATACATTAATAGTAATGCAACCAAACAGAAAGAGTGCTTCACTTAACATTTTACTCTACTGGCCAGGATTTTAATGGAATTAAAACTTCATTTTGATTCTATTCCTTTGAGAATAATGTTGCAATTATGCCACATGTCTCAACCTATGACCAGGAGCCGGAGCACTGGGTTTTGCTGATGTGGGCTTGCAAGCCTTTGGTACACACATGGTCCAGTTG